AAAGAGTGTCTTGCTGTCGTTTGGGCCGTTTCATACTTTAGGCCCTATCTTCATGGACTTCCCTTTATGCTTTATACTTTCGAAATACATTGAAGGCTTGCTACAAAATTCACTTCTAAAGTCTAGCTCTATACTTTGTTGTTCTAACATTATCTTTCCATCCAACCTTAGCCCGTCCAGACCTAGACCTTCTAAGCCGATATTACGACTTAAGCTTCTAAGCTTTTCCAGACCCAAACCCTGGGCCTTATGATAACAAACAAATAAAAAGAATCTATAGATATAATAATAAACAAAAATGATGAAAAATAATTATTTGTTCAAATCTGAACTTCTAAGCCTTCGCCACAACCCAGCCTTACAATATATATGTTCTCATTACTACAAGTCACGATTTTTCAAGGAAAAAGTGGGACATACTCCCCTTGTTAGGTATGAACACCTAATCAAGTGCTAACAATTGTTCAATTTCTTTTTGACTCCCTAACCATGCTTTTTCCAGTAATAAATTAAAATTTTCAATATTCATTTCTAGTAAAATATTAGCAGATAAATGGCAAGTAGTCAGTAAGTTATGGGCACCGCGTATGTAATAAAGACTATAAACATGATGAGTAATCCTCAATGCATTCTTATAACTTTGATAGGTAAATCGATTTTTCATTTTTTTTTTAACTTCCTCATCCCAATCATGCATCGCTAATCTTTCTCCTAACTGATAATAATGCTGGAACAAGGTAGCATGATCTAGCCGACAAAGTTGGATTCAAATGCAAAGATAATCTATCTGTTGGCTTCAGCTGACACCTTCGATTTTACACAACTCTTTCATAGGGTCACCAACCTGGTGAAGATCTTCAATGAAAAGAGGCATTTGATTTTCCATTAAATCCTCATTAATATCTGGTGCTAAATTAATTGGAACTTGGCTTCCTTAACTATTAAGAAACTCGATAGTATTATTGGTAAAATGAAGTAATGCTACAGGGGATTCTTTAATATACTTTTGTAGACAAAGAATGAGTTTTAAAATTGGCATAGTCACTTGGAAGGGTTCCATTTTTGTGGAGAATAAAGGTTAATCCAAGTCATATTTATAAGTGTTAAGAACTTTTTTCTACAGAAGGCTCTATATATCGTTTCAACCAGTTTTTATGCACAGCCTTTTTTAAAACTTTTTCTGTTTGACCAAGCTGACTCTTTGTTATTCCACTTATTGTTCGCAATTTATACGTACCATTGCCACAAACATCGTGTATATAATATGGACCTGTAAATTTTGGTTCTAATTTTGCACTATAAGATGTCAACAAAGAGGATCGTTCTAATAACATCTTGTCTCCAATCACATAGCTTTCTATCTGATGGCTTTTATCATGACGTGCTTTTTGTTTATCTTGAGTCTTCACAATATTATCTTTAGTCTGTAGGCATGATTCAAGCAATTGCTCTAACAAACATTTAATTCGTCGTAATAGCTGATCTTGTAGTTTCTCCTCAGTAATTGGTTCATTTGGGTAAGTCAAAATTACTGTTTCTATAGATAATAAGGCTTCACGACCATATATAAGGAAAAAAGGATCGTAACAAGTGGTAGAATGCTGATTTGTTCGATAAGCGAAAAGCACTGCAGGTACATAATCTTCCCAGTCACCATTGAATTGCTCTATACATTTAGCTAAAACTTCACACAACGTTCGGTTAAAATGCTCAACCAATCTATTTGTTTGAGGATGGTAAGCTGTTGATTTTGAACGATGAACATTCATTTTGATACACAATGCATCCACGATTTTGTTGCAAAAATGAGTTCTTTGATCCAAAAGTAATTCACGTGGACTCCTGTGACGACAAATAATATCTTCGAAAAGAAAAGCAGCCACTGATTCAGCATCAGCTCGCTCAATCGCACATGCTTCTGGCTATCAGGTTAAATACTCTGTTGCTACAACTATGTATCGATACCCTTTTATAGTAACTGGAAGTGGTCCAACGATATTTATAACTATCTGTTCAAAAGGTTGACCAATACGGATAGGGTGAAGAGGCTCTCTAGTGGTGGGCTTTCCTCTTCTTTGACATGAATCACATGATATAACGAAGTCTCGAATATCATTTCCCATTTGTGGCCAAAAATATCGGGTAAGAATTCGCTGGTATGTCGCTTCCTTATTAAAATGCCCAGCTAAAGGATCTGAATGCATCGCATGTAGTATTGGTTCAACTTCTTGTGGCTTTAATATTCGTAATAGTCTGAGAGGATTCCGGGAGTTCCATTTATATAATAATCCTTCCCTCACAAGATAGCGTCGGGTTTTATGCTTCAACACTCTAATTTGAGAATTCGTATAATCAGAAGGTACTGTAGACTCGCTAAGGTACCTTAAAAATAAATAGTATGTATCTAGATCCATAAAGTTTCCGTTAATCAAAGTTTTGAATAATCTGAAATCGACATCGTAAAATTTAAATAGAGTTGAAAAAAAAATCGATTATCCTATATCCATGAAAGACTATCGGCATTAAGATGGATTTTTTCAGGTCTATGAATAGTGGTAAATCTATATTCCTGCAAGGTCAGGATCCACCTGGCCAGTCAGTTTTGGGGTAATCGGTGAGAAAATAATGATTTCAAAGCGGAATGATCGGTATAAAGCATAAAGGGAAGTCCATGAAGATAGGGCCTAAAGTATGAAACGGCCCAAACGACAGCAAGACACTCTTT